GATAGCCTGGCCTCCAGTGATAAACAACTAAAGACCTTGCCACCGATATGCTAATCACTTGTCTCCAACCAACAACATAGCTGCCGATGCACCACAACCTGTCAATCAATATATTCACGGTATCCAGTCACTTCTGCTGCCGCCCATTATCACAGTCACCACAAACTATACCAACGCCACTAAAGCTCAATCAACAGAAACAACTAATCATGCCAATAAATTGTTTTATTATCCACACTACAGCGCTGATTCTTGTCAACCCAATGCTACACCATCTGCAGTTACTTTCACTGACAATTTGCCAGATTCATTATCAGACTGGCCACCTATTTTACAAAACAATGCAGCCGAACTTATTAACACACAATATTGTTTATGCCTTGCACCAACCAAATTACTGTTGCAGTTGTATACCAGTGCCATCCACCTTTGACATTTCACAGTGGTGACAAGCATTAACTGGCTACCATGACAGTATGGTAGCAGACTTTTTAGAATATGGTTGGCCTATTAATTATGCGGCAGATATGCTGCCAGTTTTCTAGGACATTTCTGGTATCCAGTCCATTTGCAACTATCTTTCTGGCATCAAAACACGGCACAAATTTTTAAATTTTGATCCTATTTTGATAGTACTCAAGCTTACGTTACTAGGCTTAGATAAAACCATGACTTATCTCCCTCATCCCAGACTTCCCATTCTACCTCACCATCTTTTTGATATTAAACATAGATTTGATCTCACCTCCCCTTTTGACGCCACCATTTGGGCATGCATTATTTTCAGTCTCTTTGCTTTTCTTCACATATCCAATTTGGTCCCCATTTCACCCTTGTCTTTCAATCCAAGGGCACAGTTGTGTAGATCTGACTTCAGGTTTGTGCCTCAGGGCATACTTATTCATGTGCAGTGGTCTAAATCTAGGCAGTGCCATGACCATGTTAATGTTATTCCAGTTTTAGCATTACCACATAGTTGTTCCCTTTTAGGCTTATTGTAATATGCTTGCCTTACAGCCAGCCAGTGCATGGTCACCAGCCTTTTCTGTGACCTGTTCTAGTAACCTTGTCCCACTCACTCAGTATTTGCTTCGTAAACACTTCAAATGTTTGGTCACAAAATTTGGTCTTAATCCTTCAGACTACTCCATTCACAGTTTTTGTTGTGACGGTGCAACTGTGGCTGCTATGGCTGGCGTACCAGTTTCTTGTGATTGGTACTCAATGGTTTACAAGGAGTACATTAAGCATTCCAGAACATCACTTCTGGCATGGCTAGTTTTATGTTTAGTTAATTCAGTGCCAAGTTCAGCTTTTCATTTTTGCCTTTAATTATTTTTTTCTTGTCAGTGTTTGCATTGTATTTCTACAATTTTAAATTGTCCTTACATACTAATCACTTTGTTTGGCAGCTTCACCTTGGTCTGGGTTGCTGCAGTTTATGCAGCTCTCTTGGTCGTGGTATACGTTGCGGGGCGACCAGAGAGCTGCAGTTCCCTTCCCTAAAGAAATGCACAGATTTTTAAATATGCCAGTTATGTATCATTAAAATTGTGATTGTAATAAAATTACCTCGACTTGCAGGAAAAAATAGACAAATATGTTCTCACAAATATATCTGTTACTGATTACAGCAAGCTTTAAGCAAATTTGCCCGTGTAAATGAGACTATTTCACGTTAAAACTGTGCCGAAGCGTAAAAATGAAGCTAACCAATCTTCCGACCATCTTCCATCTAATCTGCTTACAACCTCCAACACCTATTTCTTTTATTCGCAATAATAATTAACATGAGGTGAATTTGAATTTCCATGAACATTTGTTCTGCATATCAGTTGTTTGATTGATTTTTGAATTTGGCGCGTAACCTCACACCAACTAAAAGCAAGGTAGTTCAAATCAACATGAATATTTTGTGAATAACAAAACAACCTAATCGTTATATTATAAACGAATGGTTTCTTTAAACGAAAAAAAAAAATAGTGACTTACCATAGGCAGAAGTTGTGTACAGGTATTGAAAAGCAGACGATATTGAAAAATATGATGCGAGACGAGCTGGCAGAAGCACCGCGAGAAAATGCGAGAATGTGGGCACTTCCGGTTATTTGCACTCAGTGCGCATGTGTACATTATTTGTCCTCGAATTTTCGCGGGAGTTGTTTGTGTGATATTTTTATTAGCGAAAATCGGAACTTGGTCTGTTGACAATTAGGTCTAGCAATGTCAATTGATCTCAGTGAATTCGAAAAGAATAATGGAAATAACTATATAGTCCGCTCAGAGGTTCCAGAAATATGCAAATCGGAACCGTGTTGTTTTGGAATAGATGAAGCCGGTCGTGGACCTGTTTTAGGTTGGTTTCTCGTTTTTGGTTCGATTACGTTTTTTTTGCCACCAGTCCCGCAGTTGTACACTGATTTTGTAGAAATAATACAATTACAAAAATATTGCTTGAATATTAACACAAATCTCCCTGGACAAAGTAGAAGCTCGTGGTAGGGAGTTGGGGGTGCTGCAATTATTGGTTTACATCATATCGGTTTTGAGCCAGATTAGTTTTCCACAGAATGTTGCTGTAATTTTATTCCAACATAGGCACCAAAGTAAAACTTATTTTTTATAAAAAATGCATTTTCATACAGTGAAACTGAGGTTGTTATGAATGGTTTATTAATCTAAACTTTTAGAGATCAAAATTGCTTTTAGAATTCAAATTGACCAATCCGGAGATGGTATTGAATCAATCATTATTTGAATTTAATTAAATGAAAGCTGGGGATCTGTATTTAAAATCTTGTATAAAATACATTTATAACCAAGGGTACAGCTCTTTTGACATTCACTGTATATAAATTGGAAAATGAGGTTGGTTGAAAGTATCAGTGGCAATGTCAAACCATGGAGGTATTACCTCCATGGTCAAACTATGTCATTCAAATTTGATTTTGGCCGCAAGGAATTTTTCAATATCTCCATTCCTTTACCCTGGTATGAGATTTTGTGATGAGGTGGGAGGCTGTAGTTGTCACATAGGTATCTGTAACTTACTTTATGAACACATTAATAAATACAATATTAATTTATATTTGCTATGATGTCACGACACCATTTGCTTGTTTGGTCAATTGGACAATTTTGAATTTATAAAATTTTATAAAACTTTTATAATAATCATGTCTTCTTATTTGTGCACTGTACTTGCTCTGATACATCTTCTATTACAGTGAATTTCATAAAGGCATGAATGTTTTTTTGTATAAACTATTCATAAATGTTTTTATAAATTTCAAATAACTGTTAAAAACAACTTCACCAATTTCAATGCCAAGTAATGAACACATAATATAATATTTTTACGTAAATGGTAGGAAATGTGCAATAGGCAATTACCAAATGAGTTTTATAGCTGATGAAAACATCTTTGAACTTGAATAAAATGCAAGTGTGTTCTGAGATATATGTTGTAATAAATACATTTCACTTCATAAAATTCACTCTAATCAAACCAATTTATTAAAGTCAAACCCCCCCAAGAAATTTGTGTTTTTTTTTCCATTTACATGTTTTAGGTCCCATGGTGTATGGTATTTGTTACTGTCCAATCTCTAAAAATGAACAACTTGCTGAGATGGGATTTGCTGATTCCAAGACATTAAGTGAAGAACAGAGAGAAGAACTCTTTACGAAAATCTATGAAGCCAATCAGGTTCTTGGATACAAAATGGAAGTTCTTTCACCAAATATAATATCAAATAGTATGTTCAGAAGGTAAATACAGTGAATCTACTGAAATCTAATAATGTGTAAGAGAAGTATGATATTGATTATAATATTCAATTTTTGAAGCTACATAAACTAGAATCTATGCAGCATTTCATTCGCTATGTCATTCTAGTAACACATGGCCACAACTCTGTGAATGGAAAAATTCCACCTTCCATTGGTAAATCCACTTTTCAGCCAAAATTCTCACAAAAACATTGTTTCCATTGTTGATAAGAAAAAAACGGGCACTTACATACTTTGCCAAAAAAAACAAACCATAAGGCACCTCTGATTTTAATTTCTGCATACTTTACATATTTTCATACGTAGCAGCGGTGCATCAAATCAATAATATTGGCTCAGTCTTAAGTCTTGTAATGGAAGTGTTATGGTAAAACTCGAAACAAATTACCTAATTAATGTAGCTTATTAGCATCTAGCAGAACTTCAACATCAAATTTAAGACTGGTTCTGCTGTAATTTTACTACATATTGTTTTACAGAACAAAATGCAGCTTGAATACAGTCTCTAAAGATTCAGCCATTAAATTGCTCAGACTTACAATAGAAGAAGGTGCTAACATCAAAGAAGTAAGTTCAAAATACAGTGAAATCTGACCCAGAAAATTGTTAAGTTTACAGAGGTGCTCAGTTCATACAGGTAGTGAATACAAGCAAGTCTACAGAATATCGGGACTAGAAAATGTGTTCACTTACAGTGGGTTTCATAGAATGTACATTAAGAAGGATTTTTATGATAAGGACAGACAAATTAATATCCATGCATGGTCATATGCGATGAAGTTCCTTATTCTGTGTGCACTTCAAACAAGCCAATTTCTAACCAATGACATCAACAGTACAATGAATGCTTGAAAAGGTTTTATTGCCTTAACTGAAATGAGCAGGATTATTTTATTTATTTTTTTAATTGTACAGGGGGGTAGTTTGTCTGTTTTTTGTTTTTTAAACCATTGTCTTGCTTTAGATAGTGATTTTTATAAAATTTGTATGTTTTATATATGTGTTTTAGAGTTAGTGTAACCATTTTAATTCCTTCTGAGGAATTTTAAGTGTTTCAATAAACTTATGATTGTAATCAAAAATACATTATCTAGGTAATACATGCTTTGTAAAACAACCTAAAATGAAAAAGCTCTTTCACAGACTCAGATTACCAATACATTAGTATTTCTGGAAATATATGTTTGTCATACAATTTTTGGGGCTTACAGTTTGCTCAGAAATTTTATGTGAGATATTGATTGATTATTACACCACTTGTTCTGCATACTGTTCGTGTACAAGACTTGTTTTTTCGCTGAGTTTTATTTTTGCTTATTTCAATTACATTGAAATGCAGTGAATATGTACATTTAACAATAGAATTTGTTTACTTCACAAACCAGTGAATTTAAAACCTACTGAATATATCCTGACATCATTCCCTAAAATTATCATCAGTGGCCTTTGTCATTATACACTGACCAGGAACTGGTCTCAGATGGATAGATTTTAGGTGGGACAGGTAAATTTAGAAATGGCATGTTCCTGTTGACAGTGAATAAAGTTTTTATTAAATAAGACAATAGGGTAGTCCAAAGTTTCTGATGTCCGAAAAATTGCTTTCATTCAGAGTGTTTAAGACCTATGGGGAAAAACCCCAAATTAAATTTCAAATAATTAATGTCTTGATTTATTTTCTTGTAACAAATATTTTTGTATTTTAACTTTGCAAATTTAATTTTCAATTTTAAATCCTGCTGATTCTGAAGTATAATTTACACATTCACAAGAGATGAGTAGATTCTATGGTGTCATAGACAATTCAGGTTATGTTTTCTAGGTGTATGTTGATACTGTGGGTGATGCCAGCAAGTATCAGGCGTACCTGAAGGAATTGTTCCCGGATCTTGAAATTACTGTTACACCCAAAGCTGATGCTAAATTTCCAATCGTCAGTGCAGCGAGTATATGTGCTAAGGTGAGTTTGAATTGCCAAGTCTCTGGCTTTCCAGTTAAATTGACTACCATTCACAGGGGGGTTGGATTTACATCTGGTCATCATATGCTATTTTGGGCAAGTATTTAAGGATGCTGTATACGTTTTTTTGCTTTGAAATCCATTTTTGTATTTTTCAATGCAAGGAGAAAACACTCAGTAGGAAAAAAAGTGAATTGGATGTTTTTATAGGGTGTAAAAATCATTTTTTGTTAATTAAAAACAAAGCACATGTCATTGTTTTGAAAGCTATGTTTTAATTAATCAGCCAAAGACATAATAGACAGATAATTTGCATAATAGTCACCACCCATAGCAAATATAAACTATCTAGATCTCTTGCATTCAGTACAAGCTCAGACTAGTAATACAAGTATTAGTAGTTCGAGCTACAAGTTAAACGCATTCCGTTTACGATCGTCCACAAATTAAATTTCAATTTCAAGCAGTCGACTATGAAACCGTCTTGGGGTCGACTTAGCCCTGCGTACAGTGCTGTGTGTACGGGGACGCGTTCGATTGATAGATGTCCCCACCACAGCCCTGCGTACCTCCATAGACAAAGTCCGGGAGCGCACCGTAATTGGTGCGCAAGTTAAAAATAAGTAGTTTCCCAGCAGAAATCGTTTGAAATGACGATAGTTATCCGTAACAACCATTACAAAGTTATCTGAAACTGAAATGTCTTTAAAAA